AGAATCTGTCCCTTCTTTCAAACCTTTGTGTTCTCCTGTTCCTCTTCTCTCTTTTCTCCTTCCTCTCACTTTTCTTAACCTAAAATCTATTAGGGTTCAAGGCTGATTGCAGTCTTGATCTTCTACTAAAGAAAAGTAGTTTCTTGAAGAGAGAAGGAGAAGAAGAGAAGAGAAGTTGAAAAGAAAAGAGAGCAATAATCTGGCTGCCCCCTTTCACTTATTATTTAGACTAAAAATAATAGAGCAATACAAAGACAACTATGCCCTTATAGGGTTGCAAAACATAAAACAGCATATATAACACTCAAAAACATAATAAAATTTGGACTCACATAACTACTGTGGTCCCCACCTCCTATCTAACAACTAACATAAAACATCTACTCAGAAAAACATCATAAAACTGATTAATCTTCAACACTTTAGTACCTTGCCACTTGCCTTTATATTCTCCTAAGACATCCTTGTTACTTTTTTTTAAAATATTTTTTTCCATTTCAAGACAAAAATAATTAATATTTCCATCTAAATTCCAATTCCCTTCAATTGTCTATCTTTTTTTTGATTGGAAATGGTAACTTCATTACTACATAATTAAGATACAATTGTCAACCCCTAATAAAGGTGTTGAGCCCAAGTAATCTGAATTACAAAACTGCCCAAAACAAACTTTTCCTCACAGTCCCTTGTTTGGTTAAGGTATTCGCCAGACCATTAGCTGATCTTCTTCTCCACTTGAAGCGTGCACCCATCTCCCTTGTTATATTGAGAATTTCCCGTATGGGCTGTCGATACATCCATGCTCCTAACTTGCCTAATTGCAGCCAACATTAACAATTTAGAGTCTCCTTCTATCAACACTTGGTGTAACCCCAATTGTTTGGCATATCTTACACCTTGAAGCAGAGCCATCACTTCCGCTCTCAATGAGTCTCCCACCCCTATTGGCTCAGAAAAGATAGCAACAATTCTCCCATCTCCATCTTTGAATGCTCCCCCTATACTTGAAGGACCTGGGTTACCTCTAGAGCTCCCGTCGAAGTTCAACTTTATTCTTTGTTGTGTTGGTGGGGACCATAATTCCTGCACAATAGGTTTTGTGGATGTTGTAGCTGCCAGCACTCCCCAATTCCTAAATATGTCCTCGGTTGAGAAATCTTTAAACAAATCTAGAGTTTTCAACCAATGAATAGTCATAATGGTTATTCTTTCTACAGTTTCCTCCTTGGATTTCTCCACTCCTTTAAAGATCTTGTTATTTCTTTCTTCCCAGACTGACTAGAGTATAGTTGTTCTTGTGGCTCTCCACATGGTTCTACCACACCTTCGGTTGCTTGAAAAATCTTGGGTCAAAAGGCTTCCCACATTCGGGGCAGGTGTCCACCTGCAACCGAAGAGAGAAGAGAACTAGGACCATATAAAGTGCACAAAAGGACAAGATATTAATAGGTGTGTGATCGTCTCACCAGAATCCAAGCAGAGGGTATAAATATGGCATTCTTGGAGGGTCGCCTTGCCCAAACACATACATATTTATATGTAAGACACCACACAATATTTTATATTTTTATGTAATGTTATTAATAGTAGTACAATAGATATTATTAGACTAAATTGTTCATATTGTGGGTTTATAGTATTAATATTGTTATTGTTATACTAGTTTCCTTTTGTTATTTTCTTATTTGTTTGGGTTTAATCGAGACACAAGTTAGTGACATGGTCTTGAACCCTTTAGGACTTTTAAACCTGACTTGATAAGTGAAAACTGGAAGATTTTATCCAATTGACACACAAGAACAATCAATATGACTTTTTTTTTTTGAGAGAAGGTAAAGTAAAGATTTGTATTAAAAGTAAGCTGTAAACACAAATAACAAGTGTTGACAGATCAACCATGTACAACCAGGAACTATACATCGGAATTCACAAAAAGATCCCAAAAAGTTTTAACAAAGAACATCAGAAGCAAGATTAAAAAAACTTATCTGCTTATCTGATTAGCCAAAAGGATGCTGTTTTCAAAATACTGATCGTGAGAAATTATTCTAAAGAGATCTGCGGCTGAAAGCCAGGAATGGATTGAAGCCACAATCTGATGCACCTTGTCCAGAGCCCAGCTTTCTTTGTCAAAAATTCTTCTCTTTCTCTCCTTCCGCAGTCCCCAACAAATGGCATGGGGGATTGTGCTCCACAAAATCTTCCCTTTTTGATTTAAACTCAGCAGTTTCCAGGACTTCAGGAGATCAAATAAGCACCTTGGTTGGCTCCACCTTACATTTAGCAGCCCACAAACATGATTAAAAAGGAAACTTGCTACTTGACAGTGCAAGAGAAGATGGTCGGTGGATTCTGTTTCTTGACTGCACATCACGCAAGCCAAAGAGTTCAAAGGCATACCTACCTTTGATAGGCACTTTCCATTTACAGCTGTCCACATGAAATTTATCTTAGAAGGGATATGATCATATGAGAGACCCAAATCTCCTTCCAAGGAAAATCTAAGGGGGGTGAGTGAACCAATTCCTCAGAGAAGGATTTGACAGAGAAGTTTCCATCTTTGGACCATCTCCACAATCTTCCCTCCTGCCGATTCGTATCAGGTAAATGTGCCTGAATGAATTGGAGAAGGCTTACCAGATAAAAAATCTCCCAATCATTAAGTTGCCGCTGATTCTGATCAATAGGACTTCTTCTTCTTCTTCTTCTTCTTCCTAAGATCAAAACAAGGGCTCAACCCTTATTTTTTGTATGTTTATTTCCTTATTTTTCTACTCATAAATATGTTCACTTTCTATATATTGATATGGGGTTTATACTTATTTCATGAGAATTATGGCGATTATTAGTTAAAGATCACACTACTTATTACTATGAAACCTAGGGATCTACCCTAAGATATATATATACAAAATAGATAGATAGATAGATAGATTTTTTTGCCTAGCTTAACCTTGGTGCCTTGAAACAAGAGTAACTAGTTCATTCACCATTGCCATTTCCGACTCCCTTAGTCTTCCCCTCAATCCCAAGTCCCTGGAAACCTATCACTAAGGGGAATCTCTCCAGCTCAAACATCTTCCCAAAACAACACTTTGTTTCCTGCATAGGCATCAAGTTTAAAGTAAGGAAGGATGAAAGGCAATATACCATGAATAGCTTTCCAGGGAGAACATCGAGAAGCCCTAGGGTCAACTCCTGCATCCCAACCATTATCTGCCAACCACATATGCTGCCAAGCACCCTATGCCGTAGTCTATCCTGTTCCAACGGCGACCTCCATAACCATTTCCCCAATAATGCTGTGTTTCTCATCCTAACATTTCCTATTCCTAGGCGTCCTTCACTAGGTGATCCTTCTTAGAGTCTCCTGGTTCCCAAAGGAAGTCCATAATTTTCTCTAACGGGTTTGCCACTTTCACATGGTAGTCAAATAGAATTGATGTTGTTCCTTTTGTTCATACAACATATTGCGACATTGAAGTCTTAGAATAGGATTTCTACCAAAAAAAGAAGTCTTACAATGGGATTAGTCAATCAATTCAAGCATGAGAGATGCACCTTGTTCTTTGGAATGTTGTTGTTCATTATGTGAGGTTCTTGTTATAAACTTTAATTTCAATGACATTTCATTATGTGCCATTTTCCAGGTTGATGGTTTCCGGTTTGACTTAATGGGACATATAATGAAAAGTACCATGGTAGGCATTTCTCTGACTATTTTGTTTATTGACTTCAAATTGTGAGGGATAAAATTGAAAAGGAACAATTGCAACTATTATGCAAACATTACCATACGTGGATACAGCATTGATAGTGTGTTGCAAGCTTGTCTCAGGAACACCACCATCCATGGACATACTGAAATACAATTTATATGCTATCTTCTTCTTCTTCTTCCCAAAAAAAGAAAAAAAAAACAAAACCAAACAAAAAAAGGGGGGGGGGTATGAAAGAGAAGACCAGAATTAGATTATCTTGATTTTTCATGCTAAATGAATTTTATATTTTGTAATCAGAATAAAAAAATCCTTTATGGGAGCATATCTTGACATCTTGTTATGCTACTCCACTCTCCTGATGATATTATTTTATTGATAAATCTTTGCAAATCTCCATGGTTGTAACCTAATGAATGAACCTAACAATAATCATCTCAATCAATGTTTAACAATGTTTCACCTAATTCTAGAATGCTTTTGCATTCCTCTCCTTTCAAGTACTCCACAACTGTGCATGCAGTAAAGCTCTCCACCTCTTACTGGGTGCATTGAGAGGGTGATCCCACCAATTTAATATTCTTTAGTTTGTAATACCCAATAAAGATGTGACTGCAAGACAGATTTAAACATTTACTTTTATCTTGAACACAGGTAAAGGCAAAGAATGCTCTCCAAAGCCTATCCAAAGAAAAGAATGGAGTTGATGGTTCTACGATCTACATGTAAGGATAAAGCCACCAGGTGGCTCCTTTTTCTTCTAAATCCAAAGTCTAATCTTTTGTCATTTTTTTGGTAACAAGATCATGCATGCATTAATGAAAACGAAGAGGTAAAAATTACATAAATTCAAGCTTACTCTCAAAAGAGAGGGCCTGAGTCATAAACCCTCTACACAAACATCATGAATGCAACCTGGTCAATAAACTCCTGGATGATCGTTAACAAGACCTTCACAGGTATCAGCTATGGTGATCTTGATAGAAAATCTTTTGGAAATTCTGCACTCATCTCCTTTTGTTCCATAAATCAGTCCAGCTCTCTCTTAGGCCCAGAAATGCTTCTGTACTGCATCACGATACCAGTCTAAGCCCCCATTTGGGAGTGTTTATTAGATAAATAAGTGCTTATGAGTGTTTGGTGAAAAAGCACTTCTTTCAAATGGGGATAGTATAGGTATTATGAAAATTATGTGGTGGGCCAAGTTCGGCCAGAAATGTAAGCACTTGTTGAAAAAATGCTTAAAAATAAGCCAAAAGAATAAGCACTATCAAACGGGGGATAAGAAGAGACCAAGAGAATCCCTTGGATTCTGGAATTGGGGAGTAATTTTAAATCCTGAAGGTAGCCTGCAGTGGGTCTTAAGTGGCCCAACCACTGCATCAGATGGTTCAGAACCTGAGGTTAAAGCTCTTCTTAAAGGCCTCCAGATAGCCAAATCTCTACAAGCAGAATCTATGTTATTAGAAGGTGATCCAAAGATGTTATTGTCCGGGTTAATATGAATGGGACAGAATTAATCAAGTGGCTGATCTTTTGGCTAAATCAGGGTTGGTAAGGGATCTTTAGTGCAAATATTTTACCTGCTTCTTGATTGGGCTTTGATTTTTTATTTTAAGCCCTCCTTTTCGTATATCATTTCATGTATATTCCCTCATTTTGTTTGAATGAATTTCCTTCCCCCCCCCCCCCAAAAAAAAAAAAAAAAAAAAAAGGAGAATATCTTAGTGAAGGTGGCTCATTGGGTTAAAATGGCCATTATCCGGGAATGAGATTGTTAGAGGTTGGTACAATATAGCAAACAGCTCATCTGCAAGGACAGCATTGTACCCCTTGCAGGTCAGCCCCTGGTAGTAATTTTATTAAGCTTAATTTTGATGAGAGCAACTTGGGTAACCAGGACTGTTTGGCATGGGGTGTATTCAGAAATGGAAATTGGAATGTTTTGGTTTCGTATACAGTAGTACCCTTAGGTCAAGCGGATTCATTGAAGGATGAACTGATGGCAGTTCATCAGGGTTTGAAATTAGCTAAGAATTGTGGAAGGTGACAATAGTGTTGTACTAAGCTGTTTACTGAAGAATAGACCAGGACTGTAGCAATATAGACATGTGTTCAGAGAAATAAGGAAGTTGTATCCAAAATTAAGGGTGGAGTTTCAATGGATAAAGAGGGAGGCAAACAGCATGGCTGATGCTCTAGCCAAAGAAGGGAACATAGGGCATGCATGTACTTGGGGTGGACAGGGGAACATAATGCTTTTGGGACTGAAAGTTGATGTGGTTGTAATTAACCTTACGGTGTCTAGCTCAATCCTATTTATCTAAAATTCTTGTTTAATTAATAATTTTTTTTTCAATTAATCCAAAAATCCAATAGGATCTGAATCCAATCTGCCCCCTAAATGTGATTGTTATTGGATGGATCAAATATGGATTTTAATCGAATTGTACTCAGATGTGGCTGGATCTGATCTGAATTCAAACTGATTACATCCCTACTCTAGACTTGAAACTAAAGCAAGGGTTCTTCCTACCTTGATTGGCATTCCCTACATGCAATTGTGTCATTGTCATGTTATAAAAGGGTTAGCCATTTATGCATCTTATTAGTCTTTCTGGTTGTCTCCTTTAGTTATATTTTTTTACTTAAAATTTTAACTGATAAAGTTCCTGGTTTTTAAGATATGGTGAAGGATGGGATTTTGGTGAAGTTGCTAAAAATGGCCGTGGAATCAATGCATCACAATTTAATCTTTGTGGGATTGGCATTGGGAGGTATTATGGTTTTCAATACGATTCTGCATCTTCTACACATTGATAAGTTCCATGTTTGAAGGCTTTTCTATACTGTGACTGTTTCTGAAATTTAATTAGTTATTGTTTATCTACTCCAATATTTGCCTCTACTTCCCTTTAATGTTAAATGCGCATTATTCATTTTAATAAAATTTTTCCTTTTGCTTTGGCGTAATAAGTTTCTTTTAGTTATCAAAAAAGAAATAAAATTTTATTCATGAAATCTTAGTTCCCTAAGAAAAAGGTTCCAAAAAATGGAGAGAGACTTCCTTTTAGAGAAACGTACTTTGTTTATTATAAAACAAAACCTACTCTCAGGATGTGCAACATCCCGAATTTCAGTTTATGTTACTTGGCTGGGTTTGGTACTGCTTAGGGTTCAGTCTAATCCTAAGATTGATCACCATTCACAATTGTCAAGAAATATTTGTGATCTTATAATATAAACAGTTCCTAAGAGGCTATCATTTGATGAAATTTAATTGAAGTAATCCAATAGTGGTATAAAACAAATTTAATTTATAATATAAATTTATATTATAAATTTAATTTATAATATAAACAGGAATGAGTCTAAACTTTTGCAACTCTCTCATGCCAAATAGCCATGCTTTCCTGGTGCATTGTGCACAAAGGCTTTTAATGTGATTGTGCATGCAATTAGTTTTGTAATAAACTGGGACTTGAATCTTAAGGATTTCCCACGTTTTAAAAGGAGGGATTTTCTGTATTACTGGCCAGCTATTTTTAGTGTAGAAGGTGGTACACTTTTAACTCCTCTTAGGAGCTGTTAACAGTACTTTTTTTGGATAGGTTAGTTAACAATAAATTTATACATTTTCATATATCTCTTTGGCTACCATTCAGAAAAAAGTAGAAAGCCTGCTAGGGATTTCCCTTAGAAAATAAAACTTTCAATATCCATAATTAAGAATAATTCTTTCCATAAATTATAGAAAAGACCTAAACAACTCGAAACATACTAAAAGTATATATATTTATTGCCCTACACGCAAATTCATACTTCATCTTAGATAACATATACTCTTGTGGGAGTCTTGATCTGCTGCACTTTTTTCCTGCAGTTCCATTCATTCTGTAATAGGTGTCTCATTCACACGTCTGAGTCTCATGTGTATGGGTATTTACACACATGTAACGGGACACCTGTCAGAGTGAATGGAAATGCAGGAAAAAGTGCAGCACATCCTGACTCATAGGCCTAATGTTCAAATCCTAAAAAGAAATCCAAAATATCTGGGCCCATTTTTGATCACTAAATATCATTTTGTTTTTTTTTTTCGAAGAAACACTAAATATCAATTGAATTTAAATAATAGCACAAATTGACTCTTTGGATGGGTGCAACATGCTAGCGGACCTCTGGTTAAGGAGGATCAGGCTTTGAATTTTGGCCTGAATACATGATTTGACTCAACTCGACTCACGCAAACCTTGTCCCATGGGGTCAGCTACACGAATCCTGTTCCACCATTCTATTCTGTTCAGTGCCATATCCATTGTTAAGCTATGGGCCCTCAAATCATTTCTCACCACTCCAACTCATATCCACATTCCCATTAAATAATTTCTCACCAAAGGATTTGACTTGCAAGGAAAAATGGATTTCTGTAAATGCTAGATGATGCTTTGTGCCTCTACAACCAATCTGACATTTTGAAAAACAAATTAATAGGAATGTGTATTCGTTACATATTTAAAAGTTAATGTGATCCATAATGTGATCTGATAACTGAATGCAAAAATATAAACCAGATCCCACATTTTTCATTTTACTTGACTAAGAAAAATGTTCAGCTAACTAGCGCAGGTAACCCAGGTCCCTCTGGTATTGGAGGGGTGTTTAGAAATAGTGAAGGCAGATTTGTTGGTTTATTCTCAGGCCCAATTGGAGTAGGTGACTCCTTAAGGGCTCAGGTTGTGGCTGTTATGGAGGGATTGCAAAAGGCAAAGGGCATAACTTTAAGAAAGCTGATTATAGAAGGTGATTCAAAGATGGTAGTGGAGTGGCTGCAAAAGGAAGAAAAGGATTTCTGGGTTTTTACTAATGAAAAGAAGAGGTTCAAGTGGCTGACATGAAATATGGATGTGAAATTTAGTTGGATTGAAAGAACTGCAAATGGGTTTTCTGATGTACTAGCAAAACATGGGGAAAGTTTACCCTCCTATTCTTGTAATTAATGCTGATAAAGGATTTTCTATGGGAGTCAGGTGCTAGGAAAAAAGATCATTTGGTGAGATGGGGGGAGGTAACTAAAATAAAAGAGGGGGGGTGAATTGGGACTAGGAAATATAAGCAAGAAAAATTAGGCTCTTCTAAGTGAGTGGCTATGGCACTTCCCATTGGAAGCAGGCTTTCACCATGAAAGCTTGTTAACTCCGTGGTTTCGAGATGGTTAGAGAGTTCTTCATGGATTCAAGTGAAGGAGCTCTAGAAAGGGTGAAATGGTTAGAGATATGTCTGGTGGGACGTTTTGTTAACTCCGAACCTAATGAGTTAGAGGTTCAAAGCTGGGTTAGGTCAGAGTGGAGCTCGAAAGAAATCCAGGTGAGGAAACTAAATGCAATTTTTTTTTCTTTTCATTCTCAGCAGTAAGGAGGAGGCAGATGAAGTTCTGGATCGAGTTTCAAGTAGTTTCAGAATGCCTGAACTCAGGCTGGTTAAATGGAAGTATGGAACCCTCTAGTAGGGGCAATACGAGAAGTGGGGCATTGGAGCTTGGTACGGTCTGCGCTGTGGGAAACACCTGTGGTTGTTCAGAAGAATTGATGCCTACACATACAAGATGAAGAATCTGGTTGCTGCGAGAATCCTGGTCGAAGTTGAGGACATTCACTTGGTTCCGTTGAGTCTGGTGCTAAATTTCGCTGGGGAATGGTATGACCTGAGAGTGATGGTCAAAGGCTGCATACCACTTCGATGGCTTGAGGAGGATACAGTGGTAATACCGAATCGATGTCAGGACCATATTTTCCGTGAAGAGGATAAGGGGGAGCTGCAGCTGCAGGTCTTTAGGAGTCCAGAGGAAGAAGATGTTGGGTTGGGAGACTAAGAGATGGGGAGTTGGAGAGCCGCATAGAGGAGAAAGGGGAGATTCTAGAGAGGTGGGAGGTTAAAAAGGAATTTTGGGCGAAGGAGATGAAGGGGCATTAGTTGAGAAGGGACACCTTGTCACGGGGCTGATCAACGGGGCCCCGTGCGGCGCTCGATTGGGGTCGAGAAAGCCTACAAATGCAAGCAACAACACACAAAAGGAAACAAGAGTGCACACAAATTAGACAAAAGGCAACTTGTATTGCATTAAT